ACACACACACACACACACACACACACACACACACACACACACACACATATATATCAAGTTCCTTCTTGATGGATATGAGAGTCTACATTGTATAGAAATATTCTGTACATTCATGTATAGAAAAATATTATAAGTACCTCTTTAGCTCCTGGAGTGAATTTCGCACAATTTCCTTAGGGTTTTGTGAATGGAAGTATCTTTTTCATCCTTTCCTTCAGCTCACTAGCCTTAAGCAAGGTTAACTATCCCCAGCACTTAAGATGACACTGGCATTTCATCCTGTCTACATGAAACACCAAGCGCTCTTACCTGCTGCAGTTCTGACCTCTGTCCAAATGCACAGCGTAGAGAGCACAAGAGAGCAACGTTTAATTTATACACTGTTAGAGTGCTTTAGAGGTGAGCATGCAAATGATCGCATGGTAAGGGCATGCTTCAGGCTTCCACAGCACCTACAGCTCTGTGGGGGGTCAATAGCCATTCAGAGGTTAACAATGGAACGTTGTGGACACAAACAGTGAACAGACAGGAAACTCCCCTCTGGGCACAGCCTCCCTGCCTCAGTCTCTTCACAATGGGCATGTCAGCTCCTCCTCCAAGCTATCCCTGTCTGCACCCGTGGGATACAGCAAACTCTCAAGACTAGATATAGAATGCTTCTTCTTTCACAGATTTTTTTTTTTGTAAACATGGTAAGACGTGTCTGAAATGCTGTGTGTGACAACTGTGGTGACGAGGACACAGCTGCTGTTTTGCTTTGTGCTTTTTTAGTCTGTGTGTTCTGCAAGTTTCCCGCACTGAAACGTGAAAATCTTTAAAATGAGTGCTGTGATTATGAGGGTTTTCTATATTCACCAACTTAGAGATTAAGAAGATTTAAGAAATGATTTATGGGACATGTCCAATGAATGCAATGTTCTGTCCTTGCTTTTACGGTCATTTGAACAAGCTGTGTGAGTTTAAGAGTTCTGAAAGACTTAGGGAAAAACCAAACATGCGCTGGGTAGATGTTAGGAAGCCATTTTGTTCTTACCGGATGTGATAAAGGTTTGGGAATTTAGTCCTTGTTTGGTAACTATTGAAGAATTTATCAGTAAAATGACATTTTAAAACTACTGGAGTGAGGCACGGTGACAGGCAAGAACAACAGCAGGAAATACACACAGCCACAAGACTGAAAACCAAATGTTACCCTCTCAACAGAAACCAGGAAAACCAGTGAGCTTGACTCACACACTATTAGCAAATCCAAGACAGACCATGAAGTCAACGACCCCTGCAACTAATAAATACAAACAGTCCTCTTCTAGGAATACTCAATATACAAAGAGTAAGACATTTGCACTGGGAATATTCTGAATAAGCAAAAATTCCATCTTTAGACTCTATATAATAAACTCCAGGCCCTGAGAAAACTCAACTTTGCAATTTGAGTGTGTTCCAGGTGCCTTCCACACACTTCTGAGGCACTCCAATTTATAATACATTTGCAAAAAATTCTAACGTTGGTAATGCACTTCCTGTTTGCAGAAGGCTAGTTCTACCTTCAGAAGGTATGACATCAGAGTCCAGAGCTACACAGGAGGAAACCAGTGAACAAGGGAAATCACGCCACCGAGGTTCCTGTGAATAAGGAAGATGATTTGACGGGCAGCATGGAGAACATTTTCTGCTTATTCAAGATCATCTTCATCAATGCACCCCATATTCTGACCTTTCAGATTTCCCAACATCCTGCTCCATCCATTGTTTTTACTGCTGTTTTTACAGTATGTAAAAACAATAAAAATCAATTGTTTTTATTGTTTTTACATACTGAAGAATGTGCACCTTCTCCTTTCACAAATAAATTCCTGGCTCTACTATCTTCCAAGTCAAATTCATGTCTTCTCCTTACTATATTTTCCCCTTCACTCCTTGCTTTACTGCTTTATTTAAAAAGCACTCTCTGGATACTGCCTTCTCTCTCAACCTATTGTGTAAACTCATTTCCAGTCTCATCATTCCAATACAAACTACTCAAGCAAACGGACATTAGTGATATCTTGTGTTGTCTAGTGATGGGCAAGTCCCTATCTTGCCACATGTTGAGCACTTTCTGCTGTGGTCCCTGGAATTCCTTCTTTCCATGGAGTCTGTCCCAGGGAGAGTCTCTGTGTCTGGGCCCCTTCCTCCTTAGCAGTTAGAGGCGTAGGTCTAGAAACCCTGCCTGGGAACCATTTATTTCAAAAAGTATAAAGAACTTGTATATATCATGCAAGCTTTTCCTCCCTGGGGGGCGGTAAACCTTTTGGACTATGTAGCTCAGGTTAGCCTCAAACTCGACTGCTTTGCCTCTTGAGTGCTGAGATGACACAAGTATGCTACCACAGCTAGCCCAAGAGTCCTTTTTTTGAAGTTTGTGGTTAAAAACAAGTTTTGAAATCCAGGGGGATATATATAATCTCAGAATATCAATCTAGGACTTGCTTGTATATGTTATGACAATTATGTACAATCTGGCATGCTTGAATAGGTAAAGCCAAGTGTCTTTTTCAGAATAGGTAAAGCCAAGTGTCTTTTTCAGAATAGGTTAACATAAGATGCCTGAGATCTAATGGCTTGTTATTTCTGATACCAGGCACTATGAGTCAGAAGCTAACATGCCCATGTTTCAGAGTGCATACTTTTATTTGGGGAAAGTTGAAGAATACTGTAAATCTTGGGTGGTGAAGGCAGCACATACCTTTAATCCCAGCACTTGGAAGGCAAAAGCAGGTGGTGCTCTGAGTGTGAGGACAGCCTGGTCTACAGAGTAAGTTCCAGAATAGCCAGGATTAAACAGAGAAGTCTTGTCTCCAAAAACTTCTTATTCTAAGTCTAAGTTTGGTGTGGCGGGGGACAACTATAACCCAGGACTTGAGAGGTAGAAGCGGGTCAGAAGAAGCAGTAGTTCAAGCTCACTACATGCCGAGTTAGAGGCCAACTTGGGCTACATGACACCCCAAAAGAAATAAATAAAAATAAAAAGAATGCAAATTCTCTAGATACATAACTCACAAATTATACCAGGGTTTGCCAGTACATGGGCTTCAAAACAAAAATTGCAAAGCTTTAAAGGAACTAGATCCAAATGTTAAAGGACCCAGGAGAGCACACTGCCATTGGCACTGGGCTTCATTTTCAAGGGATGAAGCCTCCAGATACTTGTTCTCCCTGATTTCTTGGTAACTTTTGTTTCAGGCCTCTTTCAGCTTAGGGCAGGAGAACTGGAGGAAAAAAGCCTCCCCAGTAACTGCCTCAGTCAGGGAACAGCCTTCACGAGGAGGTGGAAGAGAACTCAGAAGACAGATTTAGCCTAACTTCGACTAAATGCCCAAGAGGTTCAGGTCTCTGGGCAAATGCCAGCCCAATCTGTTTCTTTGAAAAGTAAAATATTCTGTTACTCAAATGGAGAGGGGTGCTTTGGGTCACATAATGCATTCATGAAATCTTAAGAAAATCACAGACACACAGACATACACAGACACACACACAGAGCCTGGTATGGTATCACAGGCCTTTAATCCCAGCAAGGAGAGGAAAAGACAAGTGGATCTCTGAGTTTGAGACCAGACAGATTTACATAGTAAGTTCAAAGCCAGCCAGGTCTACATAGAAAGCCCCTATCTCAAAAAAAAAAAAAAAAAAAAAAAAAAGACGGCTATGACATAAGCACAGACAATCCAGAAGTAAACAGAACAAGATGTTTATTACGCAAAGGAAAAGAGAGAACAGACTACAAAGGCTACCTTGGGCTATAAACTCCCTGCATAAGATACAGCATCTCCTAGGAACTGAGGGTCATTTAAAAACACACATTTTGCAATCTGCATCTCCATGACCTCACTAGCAGAGTAAGACCGTGCTTTCCTCTCTGCAGAGTGGTTGCTGGCCAAATGCTGATCAACTGCAGCCTCCACAAATGCATCCGTGAGAGAGTATGCCCAAGGTTGTAATAAGTCGCCTTTTGTCTTCTCCACCTGTAAGTGACATACTGCCCCGGGGAGAACTGAAAACAAAGGAACACAGTCGCTGAACTCACTTCCCTCGGCACTGCCTCCTTTGCAGCTTTGGCTGACAGAGGGATGCTACGGATCCCATGTTACACTCTGACCTAGACATTATAGAATCAACAGCGGCAGGCAGAATCCTGCCTCAGCCTCCCTTAACAGGCATGTGACACCATGCCCTGCTTTGTTTTTTTTTTGGTTATCAACTGAGAAGTAGCCCCAGATCTCTACCTTAAGACAGATTTACACAGTAAGTTCAAAGCCAGCCAGGGCTACACAGAAAGACTCTATCTCAAAAACAAACAAAAAAGGTAGCTATGACATAAGCACAACTTAAAGCTTCCCACTTCTGTTTGACTGTTTTCAGGAAGTCAGCCTGTTTTTTTTTTAAAGCCCTTTCACGTCACTGGAAGCATCATTATAAACAGCAGAGTCTTCATATACTGTATTATCTCTTAATTCATTTAGGATACTGACAGAGCCCTCACGGGTTCAAGTCCCTTAGGATGTCATCCTGGCGTTTCCTGCAACACATGTACTCTGAAATAACCGTCCACTAACAGGGAGAACTTGAGACATGTAGCACCAGGTACTAGCATGGGAGGAGGATGAAGAAATAACTGTCTTCCATTATAATTTTCATGAAAATTTTATGTACTAATTTGATGGGAAGAACAAGAACTATCTATTTCTTCTTAGGACTATAGTCCCATAGAATGTGTCCTGGCTGTAGAGAACACACGAGAACATTAACATCAAAGTGACTGACTAATATACTCACCTGAACTGGACCATAAGCAACAAAAGATGGACTCAGATGAATGGCTAATTTCTTTTCTTTTCTTTCTTACTTTTTTTTTTTTCCCCTTCAAGACAGGGTTTCTCTGTGTACCCATGGCTGCCCTGGAACTTGCTCTGTAGACTAGGCTGGCCTCGAACTCAGAGATACGACTGCCTCTGCCTCCCAAGCGCTGGGATCAAAGGCGTGCGACACCACCACCCATCAAACGGTAAACTTCTTAAGAAGTTATTTTAAATAGCAGGTATTTTAAAGTACTCTGTTTTATGTATGTAAGTGAGGATACCCCAGTTTGGAAAGCAGAACAGCAAACATGCCCTTAGGAGGGAGGCCAGCATTTCTGTTCATCTGAAAGGTTCCTTCTTCCTTTAAGATCACACAATGAGCAGTAACCCTTCCACTTCTTTCTTGAATTGCTGCTCAGCACACTGTTCTTCAGGGAACAGGGGTCGCGCAGGCACCACTGCAATTTTTTAAAATCTTCACTCACATGCAAGGCCGAATGCCCACCAGAGAGACAGACAGACAGACTGCAGGATTGTTCTCCATCTGAAATGACTATTGACCACTAAAGGAGTGATGTGACAATATGTCCCTCTCTGTACAATGGCAAGGCAGCCCATGGAGGTGAAGAGGCGAGGCAAGGGGGTGAGGGTCTGCCCTCTTGCTTGCCTGGGGGGAGAAGGCAGGCCAGTGTCACACTTACTTGCCAAAGCCTTTTTGCTAGCTGCATGGTAGGCTACGATGTATTTCCTGCCTTCTCTATCCTCTGTTTTTGTCTCCAGTCCTGGGAAAAGAGATTTAATAGCCTGATGGATGATGGTTCTTTTCTCTTTGGTGTCCTCAATGACCTAGAGAAAACGGGAGACAGCTATTACTCTAACAAGCACTAAATAGGAAAATATACAGTGAATCGGGGAGGCACGGCTTATTTCATCAACTATGCAAAAGTCAACAAAAATGCTCCGCTATTTCAGAGAATATCTGTGAGCTGCCTGATGCTGCAGATACCAAGGGCTTGTAGATGGGGCTTCCAGACACTACCCAGGCACTCTACACTCTCTTCCTTTAATCCTCACAGTCTGCCGGTTAATACGGCGTTGTGCTGTTATGTGGAGATGAGAACGAGGCTCAGGAAAGTCAAGGAATTAAGTATGAAATTACACAATAGAGGAGATGAGAGCTGGAGCTGAAACAAAGCCATCATCAGGCCTGTGATCACCCACAGAAGTTGCTTTTGGTACCTCTGCTAGACAAACAGCACGGGGGAGTCCCAGAGCAAGATGCTGACAGACAGGCCTTTTGGGGTTATCAGAAAGTTAATCCCTCTGCCAACTCGACCCACAATTGCTTTCTACTGAGCTTTATTCTATGCTAAATTACTTTATGGGGAAATTCTAACACAGTAAAGAAAATCAACATAAAGAAAATGTAGAGTTTAACAACTTTTTCCCAGCTTCTGACATTTTTCACATTTAGAAACAGATTTTACTTCTCCTCAATAGCACAGAAGGCTGGACATGCCGTATTTTAAAGACAAAAAGACTTCCCAAAATGCATTAATGCTAGGTATAGTCGATGCACAGGTATTTTGTAATTCGTTTTCTCTCTTGAGAATGCTGATAATGGGGCTGGCAAGATGGTTCAATGGGCAGAGGCGCAGCCACACAGATTCTCTCCCGATATCACACGTGCACATACATAGTCACTATTAAAGTTTCTAGAACGTATGGAATAAGTAACCTGGGCCACTTGACCTCCAGGGCCCCTTGCCTCCCATAGCCAGAAAAATTACAAATGCTGATTATGAGACCTACTAACTTGACCTGACAGCCTAACATAGCTGCTGCGAGCCGAAAGCTGAAAACACCAACACAGAGACGACGGCTGATACCTTAGCAAAACACACAGTGATACAGAAAAGAAAATGAATCATAGTCGTGGGTGAATGCCTTCCTCACTGCAGGGAGGCGAGAGCTGCAACTACTGAAAGCACTGAGTTAGAATGACAGTGAGCACATATAAACGTGTGTTTAGACTGGAAATCCAGCAAGCTCTGGCAAGGCATTGTGGCTCACATCTGCCCATAATCCCAACACCTAAGCAATCACAAGCTTAAGGCTAGCTGGTCTACAGACACGGTACATTCCAGGACAGAGTGGATGGATACAGAAGCAACGAAACTAGGGCTGCAGAGATGGCTCAGCGGTTAAGGGCACTTGCTGCTCTTGCAGAGGACCTGGGTTGGTTTCCAGCATTCAGTGGCAGCTCATAACTACATGGAGCTAGCGTTCCAGGGACATCTGACACCCTCTTTTGACCCTCTTGGGTACCAGGTATGCATGTGATACATATACCTACACAGAGGCAAAGAACTCGTCCACATAAAAGTAAATAAATATTTAACAGAGGAAGTAACCTGCCCATAATTTATGTGGTTTAGAAGTGAAAACTGGGGGGGGGGGGGGGGGGGGGGGGGGGAGTTGAGGTAGTTCAGCAGATACATTGGCTGTCCCCCCAGAAGACCTGGGTCCCATCCTCAGCATCCACATAGCAGCTAACAACTGCCTGTCTGGCCTCTCTGCGCACCAGGCACACACGTGGAACACAGGCATATATCATGCAGGTAAAACATCTATAACATAAAATTAGAAAAAGAAGAAAGTTCAAACTGTCAGCAGACAATACAGCTTTCAGGATAAGAGTGAGTTTTGTCACATGTGGGAAATGTACACATGTGACAAGACACAACACTGCATTAGACACACAGGGAAACCTGTACTACATCTTTTTTTATTTTTTATTGATTCTTGCACCCCAATCCCTCTCAACTCCCTCTGCCCTTGCAACCTGCCCCCACAAAGAAAATAGAAAATAAACAAAACTAAGTTTAAAAAAGTCTTGTCATGGAAGTTATAGTGTGTCACAGTGTGGCCCAAAGTATTCCCTTTTCTCCCCATGTTTACTTGCAAACGGTCATTGCAATGAGTCACGGGTCTGGTTCGAGGCCTCTGGCTTCTGCTATACTATCAATACTGGGTCCTCACAGGGACTCCTCTCAGATACCCTGTTGTTGCTCTGTGTCACGGAGGTCTTGCAGCTTTTGGATCTGCAGGACCAAGCCTTCACATGTTCCAGCAGTTCACAGATGGGGTTGATGCTGGGGTGGACCAACTCAAAGCCTTGGATCTGGGCCTCGGCGGTAGCTGAGCTGGTCAGCTTACCAGCTCTCCTGCACCCACACCACCAGGAGGAGTCCTCCGGCACTGCCACGGCTAGCTTAGCCAATGCTGCAGCAGCTGGCAAGGGGGAGGCTCAAGTTCTCCAGCTCTATGACCTCAGAGCCACTTCTCCTTCCTGCCACAGATCTAAAGAGTGGGTAATCTCTGCTTTACCCATGCCACCAGCATAGCAGATGAGGGACAGGGCCAGCTCTCCTGTGTTGCCTAGGCAAGGTGCAGCCTGTACTCAGTACCTTTATACACAATTCTTTCTTTTTTCTTTTTTAAGATATAGTTATTTTACTTCATGCCTGTGTTTGTGTGTTTATTTATTTCATGTACATAGGTGTTTTGCCTGCATGTGACTAGATCAAATCCCCTGGAACTGGAGTTACAGAAAGTTGTAAGCTGCTGTGTGGGTGCTGAGAATCAAACCCAGGTCCTGTGGAAAATCAGCCAGTGAGTGTTCTTAACCACTGAGCCATCTCTCCAGCCTTCATTGGAGTTTCAGACAGTGTGAGCCACCATGTAGGTGTTGGGAACTGAACTCAGGTCCTCTGCAAGAACAAGTAGTCTTAATTGCTGGCCATCTCTCCAGCCTCAACTGCATTTCTACAGTTCTTAAATCCATACTTACACAAAGGGAAACTCTTTCTCACTGCTTCCCCACTCCTCTCCACTCACTTCTGGCCATGGTGGGGTGAAAAAGCAGAAAGGGAGAAATGGACACGAGTAGGAGCCACGGAAGCTGAAGAAGCTAACTGGTAGTCTAAGCTTTGAAACTACCTACTACTGATGAGAGCTTAATGTTTTTTTTTTTTTTAATTAAGTTTAAAAGATAAATTAAGTGATTTTATTTTATGTGCATTGGTGTTTTGTTTTTATATATGTCTATGTGAGGGTATTGGATCAATTACACACAGTTGTGAGCTGCCATGTGGGTGCTGGGAATTGAACCCATGTCCTCTGGCAGGTTAGTTAGTGCTCTTAACCACTGTACCATCTCTCCAAGCCCCCAAAGATTCTCTTTTTTTTTTTTTTTTGACAAATGTGATGGTTCATGTCTTTATTCCCAGCACTTCAGAGGCAGAGACAGTCAGATCTCTGTGAGTTCATGGTCTACAGAGTGAGTTCCAGGCCACAGAGTCATAACCTATCTCAAAAAAAACAACAAAACATTTTCCCAAATAGGGTCTTATATAACTCCAGCTGATTCTCCTACCTCCACCTCCTCCTGAGTGCTGAAATTTCAGACCTGTGCCAGTGCGTCCTACTAGTTTAAGAGGCTGTTATGAGAAATGGAACACACTTATAGATTATGTGGTCACAAGACCACAAACAAACAACCCAAGAGCTCTTTTTCCTTTTCTTAACTTTTACTCTTGTGCTGAAAAGGTGGATGCAGGAATGTGTGGGCCACACAGGCAGATGCATGTGTAATGTAGCTGAACAGAGAGAAGTCGGCAAAGCCTGGTGCCTTTTCAACAGCAAAAATATTATTTTTGTTGGTGACATAAAGAAGTACAGAATGCAATTTATGAGACTTTTGAAAAGAATAGCACGACTAAAACCACAAAGGCTGTGGAAGACAGACGGAAAGCACATAAAGGAAAGGGTTTGTTTCTGGAACTTCTGGTTGGTGGCAATAAAACTGCGCAGAGGTACAATCTGAGGGGCTGATAGGGCTTGCCAAGCAATCAGTCCCTAGCTGGACTTCTAGAACGCATACAAAAGAGCTGGACGTGGTAACCCACACTTCCACTCCCAGCACTGGGGAGGCAACGAGAGACAGTTCCCTGGGGCTCACCTGCCAGCTAGCCGGGGCTAACTGAGTTCTAGGCCAAGTCAGAGACTGTCCCAAAAATCAAGGTATGTGGTTCCTGAGCAATGACACCCAAGGCTATCCTCTGGCCTCCACATGCACTTATACTCACACACCCCCCAGACCCACGTGGAAGAAAAAAATCCGGTAGTCAGTCAGGTAAGGTAATGAAAGCCTACAACCTCAGCCCTTGGAAGATAGAGGCAGGAGGATCAGGAGTTCCAGGTCATCCTTGGCTACATAGAGTTTGAGAACCTGTTTCAAATAATAAAATAATTCACCAAAACCAAACCAGAAAAACAAATGCATTCTTAGCATTAGGAATAAAACTCAGCCACCATCAGTTGAGCATTTTCCAGAACCACAAAACATCAAAACAAAGGCAGGACATGATGATTCGTGAATGCCCACAATCCCAGCCATTGGGACGCTTCAGATTGAGAGCCCCAGGCTATCTGAGGCCATATCGTGAGAACCTCTCTCAAATAAAAACAAAACAAACAACAACAACAACAACAAAACAAAACAAAAAACCACAAAGAAACAAAAACAAGGCAAACCAAATCAAACTGCATAAAGAGTTGCAGAGAGAGAGCCTACAACCTATTCCTAGGACTTTTCTACTTGTTATTGTCCAGGATTTTGTCTGAGGCTAAATTCAGTAATTTAAGAACCTTGAGTGTTCGGCACTTCTTATGTCCAGGCAATGGTGGTGTGGCATGAATGCAGGGGTGTGTTGGAAGAAGATCCTGAGCCGTGAGAAGCTGGAGTACGCCGAGTGCGGGGGTTTGAATGAGAAAGGCCCCACAGGCTCATAGGCAGTGGCAGTATTAGGAGGTGTGGCCTGTTGGAGGAAGTCATGGGGGTGGACTTTGAGGTGTCAGATGTTCAATCCAGGCTCAGCATCACTCTCTCTTCCTGCTGCCTTTGGATCCAGATAGAACTCTCAGGCCCTTCTCCAACACCATGTCTGCCTGCATTCAGCCATGTTTCCCACCATGAAGAAAATGGACTAAACCTCTCAACTGTAAGCCAGCCTCAATTAAATGTTTCCCTTGATAAGAGTTGCTGTAGTCAGTGTCTTTTCATGCAACAGAAACCCTAACTAAAATACTAAGTGATAAAAGGAGACATTTTAGTCAATCTATAATTTAGTAGTTTATTACAATTGTGGTTCAGGGGCTGGGGGTGTGGCTCAGTGGTAAAATGCTAGCCTAGCACACACAGAATCCAGAGTTTGATACCTAGTACCTTAGAAACCTGGTACAGTTGCTCACATCTATAATTACAGAGTTTAGGAGGTAGAGAGAGATCAGAGGACCTGAAGTTCAAACCATCCTTGACTATCCAATGAGTTTCAGTTCCAAGCCAGCCTGGGCCACGTGAGGTCTTGTCTTAAAACAAAAACAGCTAAGCAGGGCTGCAGCTCAGTAGCAGAGCACATGATCAGCGTGTAGAGAGCCCTGGTTTTGATTCCCTAGCACCATGCTTAGGTAATGTCACAATTTCACTAGATGAACTAATCTAGGAAAATAAAATTTCTGCAGGAAAAAGCCTGAATAATGGCATTTTGTTATTCCACCTATTGTGTAAGCTTTCTCAGGCAGCAGTAGATCCAAGTTGGGGGAAAGGCGTCCTCCTTTGCTTCCCCTGTCACTCCCCCAGTGAACTCCATCAGAGACTAAGCTGTAAGGCCAGAGCCTCCTGCCAGGGCCAGGCACCTGACCCCCATGGAGGAAGGGTCCTTTGTAGGCATGTAACTGCCGTTTTGTGGTTCTAATCGGCAGATCTTTGTTCTACTGTGGTCACGGAATTTCTTTTTGTAGAAAAACATATCTTTGTAGGCTGGAGAGAAGGCACAGACGTTAAGAGCACTGGCTGCTCTTCCAGAGGTCCTGAGTTCAATTTCCAGCAACCACATGGTGGCTCCCAACCATCTATATTGAGATTTGGTGCCCTCTTCTGACACGCAAGCAGAACATCATATACATAATAAATAAATAAATATTTAAAGAAAAAGAAAAATATAACTTTGCTGGCTAGGCATGGCAGAGACTGAATTTAAGGTCAGTCCATAGAGAGATACCCTGACCCAAACAATAAAAACTGCATATGCTGATAAACAATGAATCTCAGTGCTTGCAAGATGGAGAGGAGGAATAAAAGTTCAAGTCCAGCCTAGATTATGAGATCCTGCTTCAGGGAGATAAAAAACAAACCAACGTTTTCTTTTGGTATATTTATCTTGAAACTGATTATTGGCCCTGATTTTTAAAAAAGTACTTGATGGTAGACTGCTCTTTGAGATCAACAGGATAAATCACCCTTTTGTTAAATACAGATGATTCTTCAGTGGTCAGGTGTTAACATCCCCCCAAAAGGAAGCACCAGGCCCTGAGCCCTCGCCTCCTGCACTGCTTACCTCGATAGCAACACTGGTTTCTTTATTTTTGAAAAGCTGGAGCTCCTCCAACTGCTGCTTGTCCTCGGCTGTCAAAACTGTGAGCGCATCTTCTGGAGGGTCCTTTAACCACAGAAAGCAAGAGAGTCACACACGGACAGCAAAACCACATTTCTAGGATCATTATGAAGAGCTACTGTCTACAGAGGATGGCTTTTTCTAGAGACGTTCTACCTCTTCGTCCACAGGAACAGATAAGTCATCCAAATGGCTGATCCGTCCGTCTTTTCCAATTTCATGAACAACAAAGTCAGAGTATCTAATGAAAAGAGAAGCAAAGTTTTTCAGACGTTAAATGTTTTACTTTCTACGTAAGTTTAGGACAAAGTTTATTATTATTCAAAACAAGAGATTTAAAGGAAATCTTTATTGTAAAGTAATACCGAGCAACTTTTTATTATTTTAATGAACACCGAAACACATGCAATTTTAGAAGTGTCTAAAATATTATTACCGAGAGTATCAACAAATGCAAAATGAAAGCCCTTCAATATTTGGGGCTCCATCAGTATAGTGCTTGACAAGCAGCACGGATGAAGGCATGCCTTCAAAGCAGCCCTTGAAAAAGCCAGGTGTAGGAGCACACGCCTGCAATCTGCTGGGAAGGCAGAGACAAGAGCTCCCTGGAACCTGCCGGCCTGCCAGTCCAGATGAACTGGAAAGCCCTAGGTTTTGAGCCTCTCCCAAAAGCAATGCAGAAAGACTGAAGAGATAGCACAATGGTTAAGAGCACTAGCTTCCCTCACAGAAAATATGGGTTTGGTCTCCAACAACCTCACGGCAGCCCACAACCACCTGTAAGCCTAGTTCCTTTTCTGGCCTCCTTGGGCAAAGCACACACATGCTTCACATAGCACATGAAGGCACTCACATCATTCACATAGAATCATCTTTAAAAAATAACCGGTGTGGAGCTGGAGAGACGGCTCAGAGGTTAAGGGCACTGGCTGCTCTTCCAGAGGTCCTGAGTTCTCTTCCCAGCAACCACATGACAGCTCACAACCATCTAAAATGAGGTCTGGTGCCCTCTTCTGGTGTGCAGGTGTACATGCAGGCAGAATTTTGTACCTGACACCAAACTACTATAGCATATTACTAAGTTTAAGCTAGTACAGGGGCTGGAGAGATGGCTCAGAGGCTAAGAGCACTGTTTGCTCTTCCAGAGGTCCTGAGTTCAATTCCCAGCAACCACATGATGGCTCACAACCATCTAAAATGAGGTCTGGTGCCCTCTTCTGGTGTGCAGGTGTACATGCAGGCAGAATTTTGTATACATGATAAATAAATTAAAAAACAAACAAACCATGTGCAGAGTAACTGAGGAGGACACCTGAGGTTGACCTCTGGCCTTCACATACACACGCACATATACACACCTACTATACAGTCTATATTAAAGCCATAAATACAGTTAACTAGTTAATTAAAACTAAATAAGTTAATTAAATATAGCTAGGTAAACCAGAATTCAGTAGGTCTGCCATGAGCTACCATGAAAGCTTGCTACTATCTTCACACCTGATGTCTTCTTAGCAACTCTCACTGTGACACTGTTATGTATTATCTATCTTTTGGATGTGGCTACTGAATCTCAGGAGCCTTAAATACATATTAAGTAGCTGAATGCAATCATATCCAATTTCTGGCTCCAAATAACTTCTTCCTACTGAAAACATGGTCTATTCAGATGAAAAAGTTCAAGATTATAAGATGAATTAAAAAAAAAAACAAAAACACCTTGAAAATGTCTAAAAGAATTTAGCAAAACAGATACAACCCCCCCCAACTCCCAACTCTACCCCCACACACTAACAATCTGTGTTACAGGGAAATTATGTTCATTCAAACAGTTCTGGAACAATCTCTCCTTGAGAAGAACTAAGAATTCAATATGCACCAGACTGTGAACTAAAGACCAAAGTGTTTTACGTAGCAAGACCCTGTCAGGAAAAAGCAAAAGAAACAGAAGAGAAATAGAAAAAGAAAAAAAAAAGGAAGCATTCTCATGGGTACAGGTATGGCAGGAATGCGTGCTTAGAGCACATGCAGCCCGAGGGTTAAGGCCCAGCCCCAGAGTAAACACCTTCAAATCCAAAACCATCCCCAACACTGTCACAAATGGCAACAACACTTAGGATTAGAAAACTAAATGGAAAGCTGGGTGTGAAGGCACACCCCCAAGTTTCTAAACCCCAAGGGGCTGAGGATGGAGAGTTCAAGACAACTTCTGGGTCAACCTGGGCTACTTAGTGAGAAACTGCCTCAAGAAACAAACAAAAAAGGTTTTGTTATTGTTGGTTTTTAAAGACTAGAAATTGAAAGAGAGGAAGGAGAAAAATGGAAGGGCTGGGCGATAGCCCGGTATTGTGGCTTGGCTAGCATGCCTAAATCCTGGAGTTTGAATAGAAATAAAGAAAGCTAAGTGCAAGACTGTACTTCTGATTTCTTTCTGAAAGAAAGTATTAACACAACTAAAACAAACATGTTTACTAGACACACCTTTCCTTTAAGATGCCCGAGAAGCCCTGATGAGAACTCACAAACTTGGTGATGCCTACATCAAGTTCTGTGAGCCCATGCTTCATCATGTCTGCAAAACTCTCTGGTTCCTCCTCTTCCCCTGCCTCTGAAAGGCCATCTTCCTCTTCCTCCTCTTCCTCCTCCTCCTGCACCTGGGCGTTGGAACTCTTTTCATCTTTCAGGGCACTTTCAGCTTCTGGAGGCGCAGGCTCATTTGCACTGCGGTGTAGACCATCATTCCCTCCCTCATCCTGACTGTTGGTCAGACAGCACTCGGAGACCTTCTGTTTCTTCGTCTCCTCGTGTGGCGCTACACCGTCACTATCTTCCACAGCAAGGCAACCACGTTTCAGGGACACGCTTGTCATTTCCATCTTTAAGGCTCCAACAAAACATTTAAGAGAACCTTTCAAAGGAGAAAAGTATAGAAGTTAACAATCCCCCATATGGAAGCTGGTTTGGCAAACAGAAGCACAGTGACCTTTATTCAAAGAGTCCTTTAAAAACATCACTTATCACAATAATTCTCAGGGGTGCAGAGAGATGGCTTAATGGTTACGAACACTTGCTGATCTTCTGGAGAAGCCAGGTTTGGTTCCTAGCACCCATATCAACTGGGCCCCACCACCTCTCAGTACAGTTCCACAAGATGACACTCTCTCCCAGCCTTCTAAGGCAGTCACATACATGTGACCTACACCGACAAATACAATACGTATAAATAGAAAGTCAAAGTAACTTTTTTAATAAGATAAGTAATTCTGGCATTTACATACAGTCCAGTATATAAAAACTAAAAGCTAGCACAACAGTTTGCATCAAAAGCCTTAAGAAAGCCAGGCGTGGTGGCACACGCCTATAATCCTACCATTTAGAAGGAAGATGGAGGCGGATTTTTGTGAGTTTCAGATCAATCAAGTTTATAACAAAGGAGCCTGCCTCAAAAAGACAAACAAAAACCCCTAAAAATCTCAATCTCTCTCTGTAGTTTTAAGCCAGAAATGTTTTGGTTGTTGTTGTTTTTAGGGATTTATCTTAAGAACATAGAGAGGGGGAGGCAAGATAGTTCAGCAGTTGTTAAGAGCATTGGTTGCCCTTGCAGAGGACCTGGGTTTGGTTTCCAATATCCACTCACATGGTTGCTCACAACCACTCCTGCCTTGTTTCAAGGGATCTGATACCTTCTTCTGACCTCTGCAGAAACCAGACATGCAACATGGTATACACACACATATGCATGTCAAACTCGTACATATAAACTTTATAAACGAGACAGCAACAACAACAAACCCAAGCAAACAAAGAACCCAACAAATTGAACGGCTGAAGGGATGGATGTCTCAGAAGTCAAGAGGCCTTGTTGCTCTTTCCCAGGATCCACAGGATCCATGTTCAGTTCCTAGCACTCTCATGCAGTAACTCCCATTCTAGGGGATGTAATGCTCTGTCCTGCAGGTTCCTGTACACAGAGTACACACGCAGACAAGCAGGCACACATACATACAATAAAATTAAAAATACGTAAGCTGAATAATATGTAGATAGAACTGACTAGGAACCGCAAAAGGTAGCTACTTCTGGGGGAGGACCCGGGTGGTCAGCTGATAGCAGTTGTGTTTCCACCACTGTTTTTATTACAATCTTGTTCCAGGTGCACACAATATCTTTCCAAAACTGATAAAATACAGGAGCATATAAATAAAAGCATACCTGAACCATACCAAGAGTTATGGGGAGCTGCGGTACAGTACCTATAAGGTCAGCCAGGTATGGTGGTATACACCTGCAATCTCAGCGCGTGGAAGGCAGAAACAGAAGGAGTGTAGAGGAATTTTAATCCAGCAACATGGCTGATCTGGTAAGGATCACATGCAAAGACCTTCTAGGTCTATGTGATCTGACTGGAATGCAGACATGCTCTGGATTACAGTATGATCTGGCTGGAACATAGACACACCCTTAGTACACAACTTTAATCCCAAAAAATGAGGGAAAAGTTAGTTTATGGAGGGAAGCAGCCATGTTTGAAAGTGATGTGACAAATCAGAGAAAGACTGGACAGAATGAGTCAGATAGGATATGTCCAACTCTTACAAAAACAGGAGAGGAAAGAGAGGCTACTTAAGGGCAGGATAAGGAGAGAAAGGAGTTTTGTTTGTTTGTCTGTTTGTTTTGCTTTGTTTAAACCAGGACAGTTTTACAAAGACAGGTTGCAGAGAGAACAAGCTAGACACAGGTGAAGACAGAATGAGTCAGAGAATGAGAAGAAACCACAAGAATTAGTTTTAGGCCAGGCAGAGCAATTCAGTCAGAAGCTAATAGAAGCCAGTTTGAATCAGCCAGCTTAGAGAGAAGTTTGGGCCAGAACAGCTTAGTTGAACCAGCCAGCCAGAGTTCAGAAAGAGCTACAAAGACTTGAGAACAGCTCTCATCTCACCCCCTCATTGGAAGAAATAAAAACAGTATTTACAAAAGAGTAGGAGTTCAAGGCCAGCCTGGGATACAAGAGATCCTGACTCAAAAAAGCAAGGGAAGCATTTTAGTCAGTAAAATGCTTGTCTAGTACACATGAGGATCTGGATTTGATCCCTGGCATTCAAGTTTTTTGTTTTTGTTTTCTTAAAAAAAAAAAAAAAAAAAAAGCTGGAGCCTGGCAAGGTGGGGACAGGATTCTCTGGGGCTCACTGCTAGCCTATATAGCCAAATTGCTGAACTCCACATTCAGTGAGAGACCTCTTCTCAAAAGGTAAGGAACAAAGCCAGAGAGCCAGCTTAGTGGTAAGGGAGTGCAAAGGCCAGACCTGATGAATTAGACTTCAGGACCCATGTGACTCGCATAGTGGTCCTCTGACTTCCACATGTACATCTGCGAACGAACACGCGCACACACACGCGCACACACACACTCTCTCTCTCTCTCTAATATAAACAAATCTGGCCTCCCTTTACATTTCCCTCAAAACACAGAAATACAATAGTTAAAACAACAACAACAACAAAAACCAACAACAACAAAAACCAACAACCTCTCCCATAAATTGTAAATATACAAGGCTGGCTTTTAACTCTAACTCTCCAACATCAGCCTCCTGAGTGCTGGGATTGCAGATGTGCTCCACCACGCATTTTACATGTAAAAAAAAAAAAAACAGCCCCAAAAAAACAGATTATTATCTAACTGGACCATGTACATTGCAAAATCTAAGATGCCACACGACTTTCCCAATAAAGAGGAGCTCAGGAGAGAGGCAAACGCAAGGCAATCGAAACAAAGATGTTCTGGACTGTGAGCACCTATCGACCAGATCTTTCTTGAAACTGAAATAAGGATGGAAGCATTTCTATTTTTATTACATAGAGACAGAAAAGTGACCTTTCTAATGAGCTTAGCAAACATATCCGCACAAACCATAAATGAGCTCCAAAAATATTCTAATTGTCTAACATGGGGTTAGTGAAAAACCAGAAACAGCCATGATTGGATAATAAAAAAAAGGAGATTCTAAGAATTGGCAGGTATCACTTCTTAGCGAGACACGACCACTTGAGCAATCACTGAGGAGTAATTACAATGGGCTCCTAATAATCAGATCCTAGGAGATTCTGATACCTGTTCAGAGGCCACAAGCACAGCCATGCAGAAGCCATGCATGCAGCCTGGCTCAGGGACTCAGAGTCAGAATGTCCACCTCTCTCAGCTGTAGAGAGAACACCACATCTCTACAACGTGAGGTCAGACAGAGGTATTGCAATTTAGTAAGTGTGTCATTTACCTTCTCCTAAGTTGTTAGATAACTAAAATATGATACTGTGGATGAAGTCTCCAATATCTCCTCCTATTCAGTTTTGTTCACTGGCATTTAGTATGTCCTTGGGGAGAAGGGACATAACACATACACACAACTAAGACCTTTTTTTTGAGACAAGACGTTTCCACATAGCCTTGGTTGTCTACCTGCCTCTGCTTCCAAAGTGCTGGGATTTAGGGCTTGTGCCACCACGTCCATTCACTTTCTGATTCCTGGGCAATTGCCAATGCTTTTTGTTTATTTTTGTTTGTGTTGCCCCTTGGCTGTCCTGGACTCACTCTGTAGACCCGGCTAGCTTTGGACTCACTCTGTAGACCAGGCTAGCTTTGAACTCACAGAAATCTGCCTGCCTCTGCCTCTGCCTCCCTGAGTGCTGAAACTATAGGCATGTACCATCACTCCCGGGTTATTGCTAATGCCTGAGCATGGTTTCTTTAAATACCTTTGCTCTTTGAGACACAGTCTCAGGAAGTGAGGTGAGGGCAGGCAAGGCTGCTAACAGTGAACTACTCTGCCCTGTTTTTAATCTGAGACAGGGTCTTCTGAGTTGCTTAGAATGCCCTTGTTCTTACACCGTAGCCCAGGCAGGTTTGGACTTCCGATCCTCCTGCCTAGGCCAGCAGTAGCAGGCATGACTTTCTTTATCAGCAGAGCACACTCCACATCCTGATCTGAAAAAATTAAGAAGTCTATCAGAATCATTTATTCTAACAATTTATTGAGCATATCCTGGGGAGGCACTGGAGAAAAATGGGAGACTTCTTGCAATCAAACAGGTTACAACCTTCTTGAGGATAGATTAAAAAATAAAAAAATAAATAAATGTGTAGGGGATGTGCTTAGAACATTTACCTAGCATGCCCTATGTTCAGTCTTCAGCACAACATACAAACAAACAAACAAGCCCATATGGGGACAGTCAAGCCATTTAGAAGTAAGGCAGAGAAAGGGGTGAGCAGAAGCTGGGCAGTGTGACACATGGCTTTAATCTCAGTGCTTAGAGAGGCAGAGGCAGGTGGATCTCTGAGTTCGAGGCCAGCCTGGTCTACAAAGTGAGTCCAGGACAGCTAAGGCTACACAGAGAAACCCTGTCTCAAACAAAACAAAGGGTGTACTGCCCAGTCCTCTAACAGCTGAGTGCAGTGGCCCAGGCTTATGAAGTTCAGGTCCAGCCTGGTCTACATAGAGAATTCCAGGACTGACAGGCTACATAACAGGGGGATTCTGCCTCAACCCTTACACGACAACAACAACAAAAAAAGAGAGACATGTTCACAGGGGAACTCAGTGGCTGCCCCTATTGGCCAGCACTCAGTGGGCTGCGGCAAAAGGTGCCTCCAGTTCAGGCCAGCCTGGTCTACATAGTGAGTCCTGTCTCAAAACAAGAGGTACGTGCTCAGCTTGTTAAATTAACAAATTCTGACCGTTGGCTATTGGCTAATGACTGGACATAACTTCCCTCTTTCTCACTGCAGTGACAGCTCCTTCAATAATAAAAACATCGCCCTGACACTATTTTACAGATGGCCCCAGATGTATGCTCCTTCAGGGTGGGAACAAACCAAGACAACACTTATATTTTAGAGATTTTTTTTTTTTAAATAAAGAATTGTCTTTTGAACCCCAACCCTACTTTCTTGACAGGCACTAGTTAACAGCAACGACCACGTACTTTTTAAAGCCCTCTCAGTGATGGGCGGATGGTAAGGACCGAAGGGGAAATAGCCTACACAGCCACTCAGCAGAGGCTGGAGAAAGGACCCCAGATGTCAGCCTGGTCGATTCTCCGGGATTGAGAAGAGCAGCGGCCCGAGGCCTGCCCGGCACGTAAAAACATCTGGGCCAGGACCCAGCAGCAGGCCCGGAGCCGTGCAGGCTGGTCGGGCGAGCTGAGGCGTGAGCAGGACTGGGGAAGATTGGTTTGCTTTTCTAGGAGAGAGATGAGTTTGGAGAACGCCCGAGACACCGCAAGGTAAGGAAGGAGAGGGAAACGAAGGTTCTGGCCCACAGCGCCGCGGCCAGAAAGGGGATCGGGACGCGGCGCCGCCCTAACGACCCGCAGGGATTAAGGGCGAAGAGCCGGAATCGGGGAGCATGGATCGCGAATAAAGGATGTGGGATCGTGGATCGGGGGCCGTGAAGCGGAGACCGGAGAGCGGGGAGCGTGGAGCCGGGGGCGGCAAAACCGGGAGCACCGCGGACGGCGAACACGGCCGGCCACCGTCCCCGGCCGCGCGCCTCCCCGGAGGCCTGGGGCCGCGCCGCGCCGCGCCGCTGCGCACTTACCGGGAGCCTGGGGGCGCGGGCCGAGCGGCGGAGCGGCGGCTCGACTCGGGACGCGGGACGGCGGCGCCCACCCGCCGACGGTGCACCGCGCCGAGACCCTCTCCGGGAAGGTCTCCCACCCTCCGCCGGGCTCGCACACGTGCAGCGCTGCGCCGCGCCGGCCACGCCCCGGGGCGGAGCCCGCGCCACCCGCCCACGGGTCCCGGAGGACGCTCCGCCCACCGGGCCCTGGGAAGCGTCTTGCAAATGCAAACAACTCTGAACACCTTTAGGACTTCAAAAACGGAGACGGAGACTGCCTTATTGGTTGTTCGTTGTGCTTGAACGAGAGCTTCCTTCACACTTATGGCCTTTTATTATAGTTAATAGTGCATGCTTATTGAATGGGTTTCCGAAATATCAACCATTTCACGCTTGCGTTGGGTTTTGATCGTGTCCACACCTTATCGCCCTTTCTTGTTGCATGCCATCACTCAGTGAGCAAGGAAATCCGAATCCCTTTATTGCTCTGCTACAACTTGGTACTCGCAAGTGTAACAAGAATCAAGAATGCCATTCTCCCCCAATCCCTCTTTGAGACAGGGATTTTTACTCCGTAACCCAGGCTGGCCTGGAACTCGGGGCGATGTACCTGCTTCAGTCTGTTTTTGCTACTTCTTACCTTTGACAGCTACCCAATAGGATTGCTTTCAAGAAAACCCCATCATAGGTGGTTTATGCTTTGGGGTAAAGAAAAAAAAAAGGTATTGTTCTTCTCATACTCTTCCTGTGGCAAACTCACCAAATCAAAGCCCTCCATAGTATTTCAGAGCTAATATTTTGTCAGATTTCAACTCAGATTAAAATAAAATAAAATAAATCAAGATTTGTGAATAGTCACAAGCCTGTTATCCCAGCACTCAGGTGATGGGGGCAGAAGGACCAGAAATTTAAGGTCATTTGGGGCTGTGTAAGGAATCCCAGGTAAACAATGGTTAGGGGTAAGACCCTGTTTTCAAACAAACAAACAAACATACAAACAACATGTGTTATTTCAAAATTTTGTGTTTTTCTTGGACTTTGTGAGAGGGCATCCGAATTCGTGACTCCGTGTTTCAGTTGTTGATGCGGTGTGGTCAGCTGCTGCAGGATCCTGCTGTCTCAGCTTCCCTTCCTTCCACAGCGGACCTTATCCTTTAACTTCACAATAAATCTCTTTCTCCCTTAAGTTGGTTTTTATCACGGGAAAGAAACTAAACTCTGTGTTCAGTTCTGAGTTCACAGAGAGCAGAGGCCCATATTGGGTGTTTTCCTCCTTGGCTTCCTGCAGTATTTATTTATTTATCTATTGTTACCGTTGTGTGTTTAAGATATGTGACTGTATACATCGGCGTGTGCACATGTTATGTGTGGAGGCCGGAGGACGGTTCTGTAGGTGTTGGCTCTCTCCTACTTTCACATGGTTTTGGGGGGCCGAAAGTCACACTGTCAGGTTTGCTTGGCCAGCTCCCTTCCCCTCTGGTCCGTCTTGGTGTACTTTTTTGATAAAGTTTTTCACTGACCCTGGAGCTCATCTATTCAACTAGACTGGTTGGCCAGCAAGCCTGAGGATCCCTGTCTCTGCCTCTCTGACCTCTCTGACGCTTGGATTACGCTTGGATTTTCCTACTGTTATAATGAGGCATCACCTCCAAGTCCATGGCGGTCATCATGGGGAACATGGCAGCAGGCAGGCAGGCAAAACACTGGGGCAGTAGCTGAGAGCCTGTATCTTTGTCCACAAGCACAAGGAAGAGAAAGTCGGGAATGGTGTGGGCTTTGGAGACTTCAAAGCCAGCTGCCAGTGGCTCACCTCCTCCAATAGGGCCACACCTCATGAGGGCAAGCCTTGTAATGTTTCAACCCTCTTGCAAACACATCTGGGCCGCCCAGTTTGAAAATATGGAGGTCATCTCTATGCAATCTGACCAGCATTAAATAACAATCTAGATACCAGCAATCACTGGCAAACTCCCATCACGCCAAACCAAATAGCCTACACTGACACTTCCGGCCATAGTGACCATTCTCGTCAGGATAGTGTCTAAATATTTACATAAACACAAAGATTCATGTAAATGGCACAGAAGGAGAACTGCCTTCAAATTCTATGATTATTATTGATTTTTTTTACATGTGTTTGATAGGGTGACAGGGAGGCATGTGGAGGTCAGAGGGCAACTTGCAAGAATCGGTTCTCTCCTTCCACGGTGTTGGTCAGGTATGGAACTCAGGTGTCTTGGTGGCAAGTGCCTTTAAGGGCTGAGCCTTCTTTAGACAGGTGTTCTCTAAGTTGCCCTAGCTGATACCGAACTCATTTAATAGACCAAGCTGTACGGCAAAAGTGACATCCTTCTGCTTCCAAGTTATGAGGCTTGCCATCATGACGGAGCTAAAGGTTTTTATGTTTTGTTTTGAGACCAAGTTACTTGTAGTCAACGGCGGCCTTGAACTCAATGTGCAGCTGGAGCTGACTTTGAACTCCTGATCCTCTTGCCTTCACCTTCCAAATGGTGAGATTACAAGTGTGAGTCACTATACCAGGGCCGAATTATTTTCTTTTCTTTTTTTTTGAGCAGCAAATTCTCAAATGCTCTTTTTTGTTGTTTTTGTTTTTCGAGACAGGGTTTCTTTGTTCAGCTCAGGCTGTCCAGGACTTGCTTCTTGCTTTGTAGGCCAGGCTGGCCTCAAACTCACAGAGATCCGTCTGCTTCTGCCTCCCCGAGTGCTGGGATTAAAGGAGTGCGCCACCACGCCCGGATCCGAATTCTATTTTTAATAACTCTAAAGAAGTGGAGGGAGCTCTGTCACAGCGGAGGATGCTAGCCCCGACCTCCTGGGAAGCAGTAGGGTCGCCAGGTTCCCCGAACGGCCGACCTGACAGCCAGCCAGGAGGGGGCGCCAGGGAGCAGGACAGTGGCAACGCAGACAAGCCCCTCTAGGCCAAGAGAACGGAACCAGAGAGACGGCGAGAGGAAGTCGAGGTGGCGCTCCGTCTGGCGCCTCTGCAGGCTCGTCTGCTTGGGTTGTCCTGTCTGTGGCTGCACTAGCCGGACTCTGCGGGCCAGGTTGGCCGCGCCTCGAGCCTCGAGCGGAGGCAGGATGCTTCCAGCTGGCGAGATCGGCGGGGTGCCGGCAGCCCCGGTGAGGCGTCCTTGGAAAGCGGGGAAGGGACGCTGGTGTCCCTGTGAAGTGGCACGGACCTCCCTGGGGAGGTTGTCCCCTCCAGGCTGACTTGGAAGTGTGTGGAGTTGGTTCCCATGGCCCGAGGCAGTCAAGGGCTTCCCCGGGGAAGGAGTCACAGTGGAGTGTCTGATGTGCGAGGAAGATGACAGCTTTGAGAGTTGGCGGGAAGGTGGCCTCGGTGACCGGGTAGGGTCATTCGGAGCCTGGGGAGGTGGTCCAGACTTCTGGGGAGGTGGCAGCAGTGTCCGGAACGCCCCTGGGAGAGGCCTAGCACCTCTGCACCCGACAGCAGGAGCTCTGTACGCATTCTATTTCAGTCCTAACTTGTTTGTCACACCTGTTTTTCCGCCAGAGCTGCCCCGAGAGCGGTGACGAAATGAAGAACACAGAGGAGAAAAGTAAGCAGGCTCCAAAACCTCACTTCTTTTTGTTTAGCTGGACTTCGCAGCTCCCTTTCAGGGTCTGCAAAAGAGCTTTCTTAGCCTGCCACCTTTTAAATGAAATATTTTTTTTTTCTGTACAGTGCTTAAACAGTAATAAATATTAGTTATCTTTGCACGTGGACTTTTGTCTTTCTAAGACTGTAAAATATAGAAGGAGCACTTTGACACTCCCAGCTAGTGCAGTGACTGGTCTGACTTCACTGGGACCGGTCACCTAAATGAAACATCAGCTTGTTATCAGTTATTTGGAGGGTGTGACGCTGGTCACTCTTACTGGGTTCAAGAGGTTTGATAATCGCTTAATTGTACTTTTGCCCTCCATGAGTTTGCAATGAAATTTGGTGGAGTAGAACACAACTTAGGTCCTGTGTCTTGGTCTGGGTGGGAAACCCAGGGAAAGACCTGGTACCTCCATTTCCTATCTGGGACAGAAAAATATGTCAGAAATGTGGGTATTTATCATTTTATATTGATGAGCCAGGCATGGCAGGTTATTAGAAATCCAGTACTCTTCAGAGACTGCTTTTGTTATTTTGTTGTTTTTACATTTATTTTATTTTATGTTCATTGGTGGTTTCTCTGCATGTATGCGTGTGTGAGGGTCTCAGAATCTCAGGAACTGTGGTTATAGACAGTTGTGAGCTGCCATGTGGGTGCTGGGAATTGAACCTGGGTCCCCTAGAAGATCGGCCAATGCTCTTAACCACTGAGCTGTCCATCTCTAGTCCCCGAATTACTTGTTTTAATGTTTAGTAAGTGTTTCCCTCCATTACTAGTCTTCTCTCACAATAAATAAAAATATTTTTAAAAGTCTTATCTGTATGGGTTTTTATGTTTGGGTTTTCCATCTCATTTTTTTTCAATATGTTCCAATAATAGATATTTCAATACTGTTTTTCATGTATATTAAAGCCAGAGCAGTCTCTTGATTCTTTTTTTTTTTTTTTAAGTTTATTTGTTTTATGTGTATGAGTGCTCCTCGGCATGTACACCTGCAGGCCAGAAGAGGGCACTAGATCTCACTATTGATGGTTGTGAGCCACCTTGTGGTTGCTGGGAATTGAACTCATGACTCTTGAAAACTGAGATTTGGGGAATTTTTCCTTTGCTCTAAACTTTGCCAGCCCATGGGCATCTTGTGATAATTGATTGACTGCTTTGCTGTTACAATTCAGGTATTATCTGTGTACCCTTAGATGCATGTGTTTGGAGCGAGAGATACAGTGTGGCTATATCTAAATGCCGGGAGGCGCTGAAATTGAGCCCATGGCCTGGTACATAATAGACAAGTGCCCTACCAGTGAGCTCTCCCTCCAGCCCTCGGTTAAACCTTGAAGCCTAGTGCACTAACGCACGTGTCTTTGCTGTAGCCGTGTATGCTTTTGTACTTCTGCCACACAGCGGTGCTGAGTAGCTGCCTTCCCTCTCTGTAGGTGATACGAACAGTGTAGCTCTTGTCGGAAGTGAGCAGCTCAGCCAAGGCAGAGACGATGAGGCGCTACTCTTGTATGTGTCCGCCTTCATAGAAAAGGAAGTGGGAAGTGACCTTAAGTGCTTAAAGAAACTCGGTAAACTCATAGAACAGATGACAGAAAACAAAGCGAAGTTAGAGGAACAGGTAAGTATTAAACGCAGTGCCATTCTGTCAGTTGTCTTCATTGTATACAGGACATAAACAGCATTATGTGCATATTATACACTGAAGATTCAGATCATGAGAGAAGCAGTTAGCTGAGTGGCAGGCTTTAAAGACTCTTCTGTTACCTATCTTACAAGTTAAAATGAAAGAGTTCCTGCTGAAAACAAAGTGATAGCTAACATATCATTTTGATACAAATGACTTCTAATACAGCTAACAACTTTCATATAACAACTTCTAGAACAGTTTTATGAATAATTTCAGAATGTGCAAAAATAGTTAAGCACTACTATTGCAAGTTCTTATAAATGCACATATAGAAAAAAAGCATGAGTCTAGTGTACAGAGGTTGCTGGGGGTGGTGGCACACGCTTTTAACATCAGCACGTGGAGGTGGGAGGCGTCCACTATGCAATGATTTCAGACCATCCCGGATTCCATGAAGCCCTGCCACAGAAAATAACAAAACAAAAAACTGAAAGAGAACTGTAACAACCTTTGTTTCTGAATGTTGGCTGAAAGGTTATTGTCTTCATACTCTTCTGTACTTTGGGGTTTTATTTTACTCTGAGCATAGTACTTTTACTTTTTAAAAACCCAATGAAATAATTTAAGCTCAAGATAAGTAGGTCTTTATAGTTGCAGTACTCTGTCAAAAAGAAAATATTTTACCATATAAGTAACAGATTAATAAGGGTGAGCAAACTAAGGTGGATGTGTGGGTGTGGATGTGTGGGTGCGTGGGCGTGGTTTGTCTTATGCTCTTCCATCCCTGAGTTAGGCCTCCATACCTCTCTGCCTCTCAGCACACCTGCTGCTCGTCCCCAGGTACAGCCTGATCTGTCAGATTTTCCATCCTGTAACATGCTATTGGAGGGCGTCACACTGCCGAGTGAGTCCACACTGGCCCGATATGTGGCCCGCCACCATCTTCAGCCTCACCTTGCAGGCTTTTATTGTTACCGTCCTCAGTCATTCTTCTGAATTTTCCCCATTACCTTTTCTGTAACAACAACAACAACAACAAAAACCCAAAAAACAGAAGACAGAGGCATCTAGCATGAATGTATTAATTTAATGGTCTATCCCATATTTCCAAACTTATTTGTAATCCCTTTTACCTTTTAGAAGTAAACTACTTTTTTGTTTGTTTTAAACTTAGGGTCCCAGGTGAGCCTTTAATTAATTTCGAGCAGAGAATGGCCTTGAACTTCTGATCTTCCTCCTTCCACCTCTGGAATGTTAGGATTTTCAACATGTACCACCACATTGTGTGCCCAGGGATCAAACTCAGGGCTTCATGCATGCTAGGCAACCACACTGCCAAGCAGGAACTCAAGGCAGGAACCTGGAGACAGGAACTGATGCAGAGACCATGGAACCTTCACATGGGTTCCAGAGGTCAGACTTGGGTGATCAGTCTTATTTTTTATCTGCTGACTCAATACCTGCTACCCCTGGCCTTTAAAAATACATCATTCATGTTCTTAGTGTATAAACAGGATTCATGACAACATTTTCATACATTCATAATCACTGTACTTTGCTGTACCTCTCTGCCCTCTGCGTCCCTCCTTTTGCTGTCAGTGGTACACTCCCTGCTGCACACAAGCCTTCCAGCAGGAGCTAATACCAAGGTAGCCTTATACCCTTGCTCTTGTCTAGCACCTTGGCAGCAGTGGCCTTAGTTTGCTCTTGGAATTTTATCCTCAGCTTCTCTGCCAGGACTGTCTTCTCAGTAGATGAACATACATAGGTCTTTAGGCATTTATTCATTCATTTGGCTGACAGGCATTTTCAAAAACTCTTTATTATCAGTCTTCACTTTCTTTTATTAAGATTTATGTATTTATTTATTTATTACTTATGCAGCATCCTGCTTGCATGTATGCCTGTGCACCAGATCTCACTATTGATGGTTGTGAGCCACCATGTGGTTGCTGGGAGTTGAACTCAGGACCTTTGGAAGAGCAGCCAGTGCCCTTAACCTCTGAGCCATCTCTCCAGCCCCTTACCCCTGTAATCAAGCTTGTTTCCCTAATGACCACAGAGACTTTTGCTGAATTCCATTACTGAACCATATCTTAAGGTTTCATTACTTTGAAGAGACACCATGACCACAGCAGCTCTTGTGAGGAAAACATTTAATTGGGACTGGCTTACAGTTTCAGAGATTTGGTCTATTATCATCATGGTGGGAAGCATGGCAGCATGCAGGCAGACATGGTGCTGGAGAAGGAGGCTGAGAGTTCTACATCTTGATCCACAGGCAGCAGAAGGAGACTGTGTGCCACACTGTGCATAGTTTGAGCATAGGAGACCTCAAAGCCCACCCCCACAATGACATACTTCCTCCAACAAGGCCACACCTACTCCAACAAGGCCACACCTCCTGATAGTGCCACTCCCTGTGGGCCAAGCATTCAAACACATGAATCTTTGTGGACCATACCTATTCAAACCACCACAAACCTGAAATTGAGCATGTCCAAAATTGTTCTCATTAGTCTCTTAATAGGTTTCCCTCTGTGGCTAATAGCATCACTCTCTGTCACTCAAGTCTTGCTTTCTAATGCCCTAATAAAATACCCACCACCAAAGGTAACACGGAAAGAGGTTTTTAGGCTCATACTTGCATGTCATGGTCCATCACTGAAGAAGGTGAAGGCAAGAATGTGAAGACAGGAACTGATGCCGAGACCATGGGAAAACAATGGCTACTGGCTTACCCTTCATGGCTTGCTCAGCTTGACTTTTTCATATAACCAAGGACTACCTGCCCCGGGTGGCACTGCCCATCGTGGGTTGTGCTCTTTCACTTTAATCGTTAATCAAGAAAAAGCCTGTCTGACAGAAGCATTTTCTCAGTTGAGGGTCCATCTTCTCAGATGACTCGAAGCTTGTGTTAAAACTCCACCCAACCCTGCAGCATAGGAGTCTGCTGCCTGCCTGCCTCCCGTTAGTACCAGCCCCAGTCCTCCGGGCGCCCTCCTTGCTTTCCTATTCCTACTGTCTAAACTGTAAATTTCCCTTAAAGCATCTAGTGGGCCCTGTGATCTCCTGTACAAAGAATGCTCTTCTGGGACTACTGTGGTCTCGTCTTTCCCAAACCTGTCCAGGCTCATCTATTCCCTCTTTGAGTTATATTCTGTGCGTTAGAGCAAGACTTCAGGTGATTTCTCATTCAGGTCTCAGGAGTGGCCACTTTAGAATACTGTTTCTCTTGGCAGGTGGTTTTGTTGTTGAAAAGGTATCACTCAGTTGGGACTGGATTGGATCTCACTCTATAGACCAGGCCAATCTGGAACTCACAGAGCTCCACCTGCCTCTGCCTCACAAGTGTTGGGACTAAAGGTGTGCCCCCCACACCGAGGCCAGTGTGTCCTAGGGCATTAACTCTGCCTTTGCGAATGCATGCTTCTCTACTCAAGGGCAGATGCTGCTCTTACATCCCTAGCATAGTGCTGGGTTCAGTGTCTAATCAGGGCTGATTCAGTTAAAATTGTATAAAATTCTGTGTAGACCTGGGTTTGGTGCCATTAGCTGGTAATCCCAGCACTCATAAGATGGAAGCAGAATGCTCAGAAGTTCAAGGCTAGCCTAAGATATGACATTATCTCAAAATAAAATAAAATAAGGCATTTATTCTGATGCCTAACATTGATTTATGTTTCCTATAATGATAAAAACATTTTAAAAACACTTATTTTAATTACATGCTTGGGGGTAGGTTATGTGCATGAGTGCAGCTGTCCCTGTAGGCCAGAGGCTTCAGTCCATTGTGGATTCCGAGAACGGAATCTCTCCAGCCCCATTAAAAATATCCTTTAATAAGTGGCATGTTCAAAGACATTACCTTAATGTCTTCTTACCAAATCAGTAGGTCTCATCCTAGGCTTCAGCAAAATACAGGGGCCCAGCTGTATTTCAGTATTTTATTATGAGGCAGGGCTTCATGTAACCCAGGCTAGCTCCAAACTCCTATGAGATGAGGCTGGCGTGGAACACCTGCTCCTTCTGCCTGTGCCTCCCAAGTGCCCACAGTAGTGTGCTACACTGCCTACTTTAAAAGCTCTTCTCCCTGTGGTGCTGAGACCCGAACCCAGTCTCATGCACACCAGGCAGGCGCGCTCCTGTTGAGACGCACCCCCAGCTGTATCATCAAAACAGCTTCAGACACAGCTTCATTTGTTTTTAAAGGGAAATAACTTCGTAGGTGAAGCAAAAGATCTCTGGCTGTATGCTTTCAAAGTGTTCCAGATACTTGCCTGGGAGCCATGCGTCTCTCTCTGTATAGTGTATAGTATATAGTACAGTAGAGAATAGTGCAGTATTTATGTCTCTCCTATAGCATTATATATCTGTTTGAGTTGATTGCCACAGGATGAAGAAATTGAACCTTTTTAATGTTGTTCGTGTGTGTGTGTGTGTGTGTGTGTGTGTGTGTGTGTGTGTGTGTTATATGTGTGTATGTAGATGGATAGGTCAGAGGTCAGAGGTCAATGAGGTAATGTCAGGTGTCTATCTCTATCACTGTCCACCTCTTTTTGAAGCAGGGTCTCTTGCTGAACCTGAAGCTCACTGACGCCACTAGACTGGCTGGCCACTGAGCAGAAATCCTGTCTCTGGCCTCCTGGAATGGGGGTTACAGACACTGCTGTGCCTGGCTGTTTATATGGGTGCTGGGATCCAGACCTAGGTTCTCATGCTTGTGTGATGAGTAGTCTGCCTACAAGACTACCCTCCTGGCCCTTGCTTTGTTCGTTTTGAGACAGTTGTACATACTGTAAGGCTGGTCTAGACCCCAATAAATAGGGAAGACTGACCTCGAATTCCTGATTCTCCTGCCTCTGCCTCCCAAGTGCTGAGACTGCTGGGACTAGCCAAACCTTTTTTTTGACTTTACTTGTTTATTGATGGCTTTTTGAGACAGGGCTTCTCTGCGTAGTCCTGCCTGTCCTGGGACTCATTCTGTAGACCAGGCTGGCCTTGAACTCACAGAGCTCTATCTGTCTCTGTCTCCTGAGTGCTGGGATTACAGGCCTGCGGCACCCCTCCCCCTGACATGTTTTGTTTTTAAGACATTGTCCTATTATGTGAATGTGACTGAGATATAGTCTCAAATTTATAAAAATTTTCCTGCACATACCTTCTGAGGCTGGGATTAAATCGTGTACCACCATGCCCAGCCAGCTTGAAAATTTTAATGGAAAACTTTCAGTTCTGTTGGACCATGTTTTTGGAAAGGACTAAACTATCAAAATTTTATCTCATTGTTAATATTTTTGCGTGTCATTAGGTACTTACAATTTCATCAGAAATCCCCAAGAGAATTCAAAGTGCTTTAAAAGATGCAGAGGAATCCAAACAAGTCCTGAATCAGTTTCTGGAGCAGGAAGAACCTCTCTTCAGTTCCATTAACAGCCATTTGCTGACTGCACAGCCCTGGATGGACGACCTTGGGGCTATGATCAACCAGATAGAAGAGATCGGGCGGCATCTCACCTACCTGAAGTGGGTTTCACAGATTGAAGAGCTCAGGTAGGCTGGTATTGTTCTTACGATTATCAGTCTCAGCGTGTGTGTGTGTGTGTGTGTGTGTGTGTGTGTGCGCGCGCGCGCGTGCACTATTCAATAATTGAGTTCATTAAAAATTATAATTTTACCAGTTTTAGGAAAATAACATGAAATTTTTATTTTGCTCTGTTGTGAATGAACATAAAATGTTCAGGGATCTTAATTTACATTCGAAAGAAAGTAATGTAAGTAAGTTAAAATTTTTTATGTTGTTTTTTTTTTTCTTTGAGACAGGGTTTCTCTGTGTAGCCCTAGCTGTCCTAGAACTTGCTCTGTAGACCAGGTTGGCCTTGAGCACACAGAAATCTACTTGCCTCTGTAAGTTAAAATTTTAAGGCTTAATTAGTTGTATTTTGAACACATGATAAAACTACTATTTCTAATGGTAGATTTCCCTGAGTTTGATCATCAGAATTCCTACTAATATTTAAGAGTCACATTGAACTACATTATGTCACCTAGAATTTGATACTTTTTTAAAAAATGGGTATCATCCAATAAGAACTGCATCGTAAGAAGCTGAGAGATGGCCTAGCAGTCAGAAACACTTGCTGTTCTTCCAGAGGACCTGGGTTCCGTTTCTGGAGCTCACACCCCTGTAACTTCAGTTCAGGGGGATCTGACACCCTCTTCTGTCCTCTGTGGGGACTGCATGCACATGGTGGACATAATGTGCATGCAGTCAAAGCACTCATACACTAATTACGTAAGTAATTGGCCATGTGGTGGTGTCATACAACCAAATCCCAGTATTTGGAGGCAGAAGCAGGTGGATCTCTGTAAGTTCAAGGCCAAAAATAAATAAATAGATAAGTAAATGTTTAAAAAAGAGCTGTGAGCCAGTGATGGTTGTAATGCCAGCACTGGGGATTGAAGTAACATGTTTTAGGCTAGCTTTGTCTGCATAGGGAGTTCTAGGAAAACACAGGCTACATATTGAGACCTGGCCTACAAAACAACAACAAACAAAAAGAACTGCATAGTTAGGCCAGTGTAATGTGCAAAACTAATCTTAGTTCTTGGGAGACCAAGCCAGGAAGATAGCAAGTTCAAGATCAGACAAGGCCAGACCTTGTCTAGGAAACAAGCAAACAAAACAAACAAACAAACAACAAACAAACAAAAAACTAAAAAGCAAACAAAAAAAACTGTACAGTATTCTTAGATGAATAATAGTTTGACTGTCTTTGAGTAGGGAAAAATAAGAAAGTTCTTTTGATAAAAAAGTAAATAAAGTTCACATCTGTTTTGTGAATACTACAGATTGATTATATCTGGCCTTGCCTCTCAAGCCAGAGTAACGTTTTTCCCTAAGTTAGGAGATTATTCTGCTTTATAGTCTGGTCCCCTGTCCCCTCCAAAGTGTGCACGGGTGTCTTCCTTTATTTTTTGAGGCAGTCTCTTACTAAACCCGGAGCTCACAGACTGGCTGGAGTGGCTGGCTGCTGACTCCCTCACACCCCGCCTGTCTCCCCTTCGTGGGCCAGGACTGCAGGTGCATTTCTGTGCCCAACTTTTTATGTGGCTGTTGAGGATCAAACCCAAGTCCTCACGCTTACATAGCCGTGCTTTACTTGCTGACCTATCTCCCCAGAACCTCCCACAAAGGAGTTTTAAACCTTGCTTTACTTTACTTCCTTTCTCTTTGCCCCTCTGAGAGAACAGAACAATGAAGGGTAATGTTATAACCTTCTTAAGCAGAGTAAGTTGTTTGAAAGTTTCCCTTTCATAGTAGCCGAAGAGATTGACACAAACCAGACTTTAGTTATCAGTAACTTTCTTGGTATCTGAATTGTTTAAAAGAGAATTTCAACCCAGGAATCATATTGAATAAGAATCAAATTAATAATGAGCATCATACAGACAGTTATTTCATTCTCTTGATAATATAGTTTTTTTCCTTACAGTCTTTGTGATAACATTTCTAATTCTAGGGTTTTTTGATTGTTTGTTTGTTTGATTGGTTTTTTGTTGTTGTTGTTGTTTTTCCAAATTTCTGAGACTTTTTCATCTCCAAATTTCCCTTTAATAATGGCTAGTTTTTATTCTGTATTCTATCTCTCTCTCCCCCTCCCTCTCTATTCTTCCCTTCCCCCTCCACCCCTCCCTCTGTCCCTTCTTGCTTGAACTAGCATTTTGACAGAGTTTCTTTTCTTTTTTTTTTTCGAGACATGGTTTCTCTGTGTAGTCCTGGCTGTCCTGGACTGGCTTTGTAGACCAGGCTGGGCTTGAACTGCAGAGATCTGCCTGCCTCTGCCTCCCTGATTACAGGCGCACAGCACCAGGCCCGGCTTGGCAGAGTTTCTTATGAAGATGACAGTGAGCAGTGTCATACCATGAACATTGTTATTCTGGCTTTCCTGTGCTCTAAGTGCCCTTCATGCTTCTATGTTATATATCATTCTGGAAATTTTATATTCTGTGGTTTCTTGTACATTTTATGTCCGTGTATAAAGTTCACTTTTTGCTTTGGCTGGCCTAGAACTTACTATGGAGACCAGGCTGGCATTGAACGGACAGAGATCTGCCTGTCTCCACCTCCCGAGTACTGAGATTAACGGCATGCACCCTTGTGCCTGTCTTCCTTCCTTTTTCTTTCTTTCCTTCTTTCTTCCTTCCTTCCTTCTTTCTTTCTTTTTTCTAAAGATTTATTTTATGTATGAGTGCTCTATCTGCATGTACACCTGCATGCCAGAAGAGTGCATCAGATCACATTATAGATGGTTGTGAGCCACCACTTGGTTGCTGGGAATTAGCACCTCTGGAAGAGCAGCCAGTGCTCTTAACCATTGAGACATCTCATTTTTTTTTTTTTATTGGAGGGTCTAGACAGGTCTCATGGCCTATGAATTCTTGATCCTTCTGCCTGTTTCCCCAGTGTACAGTGCAAGGATTACATGCTTGTGTCACTGTGCCTGGCTACATTAGTACAGTTCTCTTTTTTTTTTTTTTTTTTGTTTTTTGCTTTTGGAAACAGGGTTTCTCT